ACTAGGGAAATCTCCAGGAATATACAAAGATGACTCCAACTAAGAATCTAAGCAACTGTGGAGAGGGTAGCTTAAATGTCCTTCCCTTATAATGAGATTGATGACTACCTTATATGCCATCATAGAGTCTTCATCCAGTAGCTGATGGAAGCAGAAGCAGAGATTAACAGCTAAGCACTAAGCCAAATTCCTGGAATCCAGTTGTAGAGATGAAGGAGTGATGAGCAAAAGGATCAAGACCAGGCTGGGGAAACCAACAGAAACAGCTGACCTGAGCAACTGGGAGCTCATGGACCTCAGTCTGACAGCTGGGGAACAAATTTAGGACAGAACCAGGCCCCCTGAACGTGGGTATTAGTTGGGAGGCCTGGGTAGTCTATGAGGCCTCTGGCAGTGGAACCAGTATTTATCTCTAGTGCATGAATGGGCTTTTGGAGCCCATTCCCTATGGAGGGTCACTCTCTCAGCCTAGATACAGAGGGGAGAGCCTAGGCCCTGCCCCAAATGATTTTCCCCCATGGGAGGCCTCACCCTCCCTGAGGTGTAGATGGGGGTGGGATGGGGAGACGGTGGGGGAAATGGGAGGACAGGAGGGAGAGGGAACTGGGATTGGTATGTAAAATAAGAATGCTTTTACTTTAAATAAAAATTAATTAAAAAATAAAATGATGACTCTCCTTACTCTGGCCTCTTCCTACAGGAGTTCTCATCTGAAGGAAAAGGTCTAGGATATGGAGACATATATTTTTGTCATGTCTAAAAACATACCAGAATCATGAGAGTGGAGACTGAGGTAGATTCACAAAACAAGGGCATTCCAATCTATGATTTGGAGGCATATCTTGCCATCTGACCATCAATTTCTTTATTTTATAAAAGAAATCCTTGTACTTGCTTTGTTTATATGTCAGAAGAAGTTATGAAATGAATGGGAATTGAAATTACAGCATTAGAAAAATCTCTACGGTGAACCACGTGTGCTTGTATGTAAGATGGACTTCTACCCCGTCTACTGCAGTAGGCAGCGTGGGAAACCCTTCCCATGTCCAAACCACAACTCCTCTTCCAGGAACCCCTGTTGATCCTGGTGGCTTCCCATTCCCTAGACAGGAAGTTTAGAGGCTTGGCTGTGCTATCTGTCCCTTCACTCATGGTAATGTAAGACTGACCAGTTCTTTTCAAAATGTAAAGCTGTTCAAAACTCATGGATGATTTTTCCAATTGTTTCTGAAAATAGAGTAAAACCCTGATGTTCCCCCTTCCTGTCTGTGCTTGCCCGCTCATACTGTACAAGACACTCACACTTCCCCTTCTGCAAGTCTTTTTCCATGCTGCCCTCGCCTCCAACTGTAGCCCCAAGAGTTATTTGTTCAAGTCCTCATAACAGCCATTCAGGAAGCACTGGCCCAAGTCCTATGGCAGGGAAACCCATACTTTCCCTCAGAGCACTTATTATTGTGCAAAATTAAACATTAGTTAAATCTCTCCCCACCTCCCATGAGTAAAGTTCCTGACGGCAGTGGTTATTTTGACTCCAACTTGAGGCTTTAGTTTTTAAAAGAAATTAGTAATTAAATCAGGCTTGGAATACTGTCCTTGCTTTCTATAAGTTAAAACTATTATTGAAAGAGGAGGAGAGGGAGTCAGCCAAACACCTGGCAGGTGGTAGGGATCGACTTGGTGCATTTGTATTTACTATATCTTTTACTCATCCACAAATTGTACTAGATAGCATTAGTCTCCCTTGGCTGACATACCAAACCATGATGGAGTAGCTAGTTTACACTGTAGTAACATAGGCAAGGGTTACAAGCAAAATATAAATCTGCCACTCAGTAGATCATACAGGAGTCATTCAATCATTCAATGCAAAGATCACAGCCTCCCTGGGCATCCTATTGCCAACATCACAGCAGAATTTGACAGAACCCCCATACCAAAATGGGGAAAGCAGAAACAGACAAAAAACTTTCGCCAACATCCATATTTCTTGAACCTAAATGTTTATTCCCCACCACCACCACTTTCCATTTGGAACTTTATCAGACAAAGTTGTGGGATAGTGCCACTCTATGCTTACGATATGTTTGCTTATGGAAGCTGCTTAGTTGCTATTTTCATCTTTTATCTTAGTTTTGAAAAATGTAATTACTCTGACAATGTAATCCCAGCACAGAGATAAGCATGCACACCTGGTGTTCCTTGAGGTTGTTGTTGCCAGCACTCTTCACTTTAGGGGTGTTACAAACACAGTGGCTTGGAGAGAGTTTAGTGTAAAATATGATGAGCCCACACTAAGTATGAGAAAGCTTGGGAGCCTCTTTGAGAAGATGAGGAAGTCCTCAGGGCTGACGTGAGGATCCAAACCAAAATTTAGAACTTTGGACTGAAGTGGTGTTTCTTCATAGCTTTCCCAGTAAGGGCACAGACACTAACTAGTAAGAGTCAATAGTTGAGTAGGCAGTGCTCAGAAGCTAAGATCACTAGTTGCTCCTCCAGAGGAACTAGGTTTGGCTCCATCACCCTCGTGGCAGCTCACAACTGTTTGTAACTCCGGGAAATCTGACACCCTCTTCTGGCTTCATTAGGCAATGCATATACACGATGTACATACATACACACAGACACTCATACACATAAAATAAAAACAAATAAATAAATCTCTAAAAAAAAAAAAGTACTAACAATTGAGGAGTAACTCAGGGACCATGAAGACCTAGGTATGAACAAGACCTTCAGCATGTTGCTTAACCAAACCTACCCTCCGGTTCCTCATTTGTAAGACAAACAAAGACAGAGGTATCAGGAAGGTTCAGTCAGTCAAGCCCTTGCTCTACAAGTGTGAGGATTGAAGTTCAGTCCTCAGAACCCATGTAGAGATGTTGGGTGATGCATGCCATGCCAGCACTGCAGAAGCAGAAACAGGATATCTTGGCTACTGACCCTCAGTCTGGTCTAACTGGAGAGCTTCAGTGGAATGAGACACCCTATCTAAAATGAGGTAGGTGGATTTCTTCACAACGACACTAAAGATTGTCTTCTAGCCTCCACAAACCTGAACACATACCTGTACTCACATGTGCACAGGGGTACATAAAAATGTAAGTAAAATGGACAAAGAAACACACCAGCTAATTCACAGTATTGTGGCCACTGAAGGAGACATTCTGCAGCCTGATCTGCCTTTGCCACATAGTAACCCTTGAGTCATGTTAATGATTAGAATATTATCAGACTCAGAAGGTAGGAGGGACAGAGATAACAATATCCCCGAGGGCCAGCCTCAAAGGGAGCTTCAGACAGCTGCCCTAGTCACTTATAAAACACATGGACTTGAATGTAAGTCAAACAACAGTAAATCCTCTGTTAATTCATAGTGTAATTAAATTTCTGGCAGAATACTGTACTTTGTAATACAGCTTATTGTTCTTCCAAACTATAATCCAAGAAGCAAATTATATCTGAGCTTTCTAAAGTATCTGGTCCATAAAAGAATCTATACCAGTTCTTAGCATAAAATTCTATTCTGTGGAGAAAGCAACTGTGCCTACATCACACGCAGAGTCCATGAAGTCAAAAGGATACTCATGTTTAGAGTCCTTGTATTAAAAAAAAAAAAAAAGACTCAGGGGAAGAATAGAAGATAACAAGAATGGAGATACCATAATAGAGGGAGACATTTTAGGTTTACAGAGAAATCAGGCACTAGGGAAAGGTTTGGAGATTTACAAAGATGACACCAGCTAACAATCTAAGCAACAGAGGAGAGGCTACATTAAAGGTCTTCCCCTGATAATGAGATTGATGACTGACTTATATGCCACCTGATAGCCCTCATCCAGCAGCTGGTGGAAGTAGAAGCTGCCACCCACAACTAATCACTGAACTGAACTGGAATCAAGATGCAGAGAAGGACTAGTAAAGAGCAAAGGGGTCCAGACCAGGCTGGTGAAACCCACAGAAACAGCTGATCTGAACATCGGGGGAACTCTTGCTCCGTAGACTGATAGCTGGGATACCAGCATGGGGCTGATCCAGACCCCAGGAACATGGGTTTCAGTGAGAAAACCTCAGAAATCTATGGGACCTCCTGTAGTTGTTCAGTACTTATCCCTAGCACAGGTGTGGACTTTGGGTGCCCAATCCACATAGAGGAATACTCCCTGAGCCAAGACACATGGAGGTGGGCCTAGGCCCTATCCCAAAGGATAAGATAGACTCTGATGACACCCTATGGAAGGCCTCACCATCCAGGGGGAGCAGAAAGGATATGTGATAGGTAGGGTTTTAGTTGGGGGGTGGTGGTGGTAGGGGAGAATGGAAGGGACAAGGGAACTGGGATTGTCATGTCAAACAATCTTGTTTCTAATTCAAATAAAAAATAAAAAATAATATATGTAAATACATAGTGCTTGTAAATAGACTCAAAATTTGCTTTTCTACTGGGCACAAAATAAATTTTTAATAAAATGTGTGACTTGCAAAACAAAAAAAAAAAAGGAAGACTCAACATTATGTAATCTAATGTAATGGTCTGAGTCTTGTCCTTTGTGTATCTGTGAATAAAGTTTTACTGGAACACATCCATACTTGATCATTTGTGTGCACTTATGACAAGGATTGTTTGGCCCACAAAGCCTACCTTATTTACTATGTGACTTTTACTGAGAAAAAAAAAAACAAAAAAGTGAACAACAACAACAACAAAAAGTTTATGATCTCCTGTTATAGAAGGGGGGATTGAAAACCTTTAAAATGTGAAACTTTAGTACTAGAGTTTCTTCTTAGGACCAGCCCCATTGGGGGAAATGCGAAGCTTAACCATACTCATGAAGTATAAGGTAAAAAATGCCCCTACCCACCAATATAAGGTGAATGACAGAACCTTAAAGGTTAGAGGTGATTGAGCTTCCAGTGCGAGGTCCGTTTGTGTCAATGGGCATTTCCCTTCCCCTCCCAGGATATGGGATTCTGCACATTGGTGTGTAGATAAGACTCACATGGGCTTTGTCTTCATTCTTGGTTGGTGTTGCTCTGGGTCCTTGCCCTGATGCCTCCTCTGCAGCTGCTTTCTGGGTGACATTCTGAGGCTCCAGCTTTGCTAGTGCTTGGCTATTGGTGGATTTTGCAGCCTGAGCTTTCCTGCAGAGAAACAATGGGAAATGATCAAAACATTCTTCAACAGGAACAGGCCTCCCCAAGCAGATGTCTACAATCAAACCATGTGAAAAACAGCAGCAGCTTGCTTGTTATTGTGCTTATCATCTAGTAGGTCTTTGACTAGAACTTTCTTCATAACAACCATCTCAGGTTATTCTTGCATTATAATAAAAAGCTCAAAAAATACTATAATTTACCCAAGACCACATAATGGTTTTGTCAGGATTTGAACCCAGGTTACCCAGCTCCTGACTCAGCTAGGCTGCCAGTAGTACATGCTGCCTTCATGTGACCACTCAAAGACTATCCCCTGCATCACTGTATGCTCATTTATAGTTTTAACATCAGGAGAATTGGAGTGGGACACTATTAGCTTTGGGGCACTGAAGTTAGGTCCATGCATCTGTTCCAACTTCAGCTCACCAGCTCACAGTGGGGCTGCCCAGAACTAGAAGAGGGTACCCAGCCAAGGTGATAATCACCTGCCTCGTTCTAAGTCACTTACATGTCCAGTTGATTATGTCAATTTCCCATGAAAATTTCACTGCCCCTAGAAGGTTCAGATTACTATGCCTAGCCTTCAGAGACCTTAGACCATCAACCCACATCTTCTGGGGTTCACCTGGTGTACCTTAAGCACTCAAAAGGTTTCACCACTTCCCATAGAGCTGTTCAAAAAAAAGTTGAGGAATCTTGATCATGCCCTCTACTTGAATTTGTCTCCCAACCTTCCATAGCTGGGTACCCATCTCTTCCTTCAAGGCTCAACTCAGATTTCCCTTCTTCTATGCTTCCATCTGTTTATACCTTAACCAAGTCTCCCTCTGGGTACAGTCTGCATTGCAATAGCTGCTTGTGTATCTTGCCTTGTTTCCATCCCAGGCTGGAATGAGTTCTGATTCGCTTTGCATTCCTGGTGCCTGGCATAGGGCAGACACCTGCAGACCCTGTCATGCAACTGCCCACAGCTGGTTCAGTTCTCCTAAAGGCACCTGACCCTTGGCTGCCTCCTGTGGTGCTGCTGCAGGAAGATGCTAATAGGGCAGTGGTGGAGGAGCAGGAGCCAGCATGCTCATGCAAATCAGCACTGATGTCTGTCAGAGCCATGAAGCAGTTGTTTGGCAGCATTGCAGGTAAGAAGGGAACTGCTGGAAGCTCAAGTGATCTTCCTAGGAAGATCCAAGTGATTCTTCCCACCCTCAAATGTCCCCGTGCTCTCCTACCAGAAGCTGTGAGCAAGAGGTATCTCTGCAGTGTGTTGTTGAATTGAAATGCCCCAACAAGCTCATGTGTCTGCATACTCCGTCACTAGCTGATGGTGCTAACTGGGAATGTTGTAGAACTTTTAGATTCACTGGAGGGAGGGAGTCATTAGGGGCTGGCCTTAATGTTTTATACTCCAGCCCCACTTTCTGCTCACCCTGCTGTCTGACTACGGGTATAACATGATGAGATTCCTGCCACCATGCCTTCCTGGCCATGATGGACTCTATCCCTTTTTGATTTTGAGACAAAGAAACCTTGTCTCAAAACTCAACTTCCTTGAGTTGCTTTTGTCAAGTATTCTGTCACAGCAATGAAAAGAAGGAACGAATGCACACAGCCTTTTGAAATGCAGCCAGTCTCTGGCTGGGGTGTGGCTCTCCTACCTGAGCGTTGAGTCCTGCACTGTTCTCAAATGCTCCCTCTCAGCCAGTATCTCATCACACAGCAAGTCGTAGGGTTTGTCTAGATGGTGTTCGCCCATCACCCAAACCCACACCTCCTTATCAGCGCCCAGCTTCCAATGCACAGATTTGCCATTCTCTGCAAACAAAACAAAATTTGGCATATTATTGAATAAATTATGCATGGCATATTATGTGTCCCAATCACTTTAGTCTGGGGAGGGGGTTTGGTAAAACAAACACTTCCAACCTGCAACAGTAATGCTAGGGGCTGTGAGGGTTTCTTTACAAATATAATGGGCCTTGTACCTGTCAGATGCTGAGAGAGGATTCCGTGATGTGCCTTATCCTTTAGGGTAAGAGTGAACTACCATCAAGTTCCACCTCTTCAGACTAAGTATTTCCCCATTACCCAGAATCGAGCAGCTGTTCAAGCATTTGGTGTCTCCACTACCATTAAAGGACCTGAAAAGGATGCATTTTAGAGTGAGACTGGTTTCATTCAAATATTAGCTGTGCTACCTACCAGCTAGGTGACGTAGAAAAATTCATGTCTTTAAAACTTGCTATCCTCATGGGTTTCAGTGAGGAAACCTTGGAAATCTACAGGACCTCCTGTAACAGAGCAGTACTTATCTTTAGCGTAAGTATGGACTTTGGGAGCCCAATCCACATAGAGGAATACTCCCTGAGCCAAGACAACAGGGATGGGCCTAGGCCCTAATCCAAAGGATACAATAGACTCAGATGACCCCCTATGGAAGGCCTCACCCTCCAGGGGAAGCAGAAAGGATATGTGATAGGTAGGGTTTTAGTTGAGGAGAGGTGGTAAGGGAGGAGGGGAGGGAGATGGAACTGGGATTGTCATGTAAAGCAACACTGTTTCTAATTCAAATAAAAAAAATCTGCAAAAAAAAAAAAAAAACCAAAAAAACTTGCTATCCTCATCTGCCAAATGGGAATGCTAATATCCATTGCAATGACAGCTGTGCAGAATAGGCATGTGAAGGATGCCCTTGTCTCTGCCACACAATAGGAGTTCAACAGAGGTTAACTGCTGTCACGAGCCAGCCTATCATTTACTTATGGGGCTGCTTGGAGATTCACACCAGCATGTGAGAAGATAATACTACCTGGGTAGTATGACACTTGGTGAAGCTACTTAAATAACCCTTGTTTACAATTGGTCCTGGGGTTTGTATTACATCTAGTTTCAAGCTCCAGAAATGAAACCAGATGGGAGCTTGGTCCCTGAGACCAGGAAAATGTGATTAGGAGAAACCAAGAAAGACAGTTCCTGAAGTAAAGGGACAGATCTGGGCTCTTCTCAGGTCACTGTGGGTCAAAGTTAGGTCTAGCCAATACCCTCAAACCAGCCAAGGGTGCTGAGTGTGTGAATGAGATGTAGCATATGCCGATCCAGGCTGTATTCCTTGGAAATCCACACTGGGGCTGCCTCTGGTCTTAGGCTAAGCAATTCAAGCATTCATGTACTATTGGCCCATTTCAGAGTGCTGTCTCAGTTTGCTTTACAAAAGCAGGCTGTCAAACTTGAGCTCCATTTTCTGCTCATCTCCAGATAAATGATCTCATCCCACAGTTTCAGGGAGTTCTAAAACACACTGAGCAGAGTGGGGCAGATTTGTGCAATCTTCACCAAGGACCTAAAGTCAGAAGGAACTGCCCTGACCCTGTTGTCATAGCAAGAGACACAGTGGGGGTGGAACACAGGTAGAAGGAGAGATCCCGAGCGCTCTTCTGGGGGTAGACTCTGGGGTCAGCCTTTACCGGTCTTGCAGTTTCAGCACATGTCAAATGTTTCATTAACTCTAGAAAGCTGTCATACCGCATAAAACTGGCCACACTCCTGAGGCCATCCATAAACTTTTTATTATGCTCATCTCTTAACCATCACTTAAGTAACTCTCTGCTAATATTTTGGACAACAGGAGGCTGAAACCTAGAACAGACCATGATTGGATGCCAAGAGAGGCAGACTCAGAGCCCAGAGATTTACTGCTCAGCAGTGACACCATATGAATGTTCCCCAAACAATTTTCATAAAGTCTGCAGTCTGCAGGTGGCAGTGATGACTCTGGAGAAGGTCTTGCACTAGGGTGGCACAGACAAAACCTAGGAGTGTAGGTGAGCAGTGGAGAATATGCAGGAACTGAAAGTAGTAGAAAGACAAAAAGAAAACAGAAAACTGAAGAGAGTTGGGAGCACCGTGGCCAAAAAGAAACACTGGCAAATAATAAAAGGATTAGATTCAAAATGTCACATATAGCAGGTGCTCAGAGTCCTCTCCAGTGAGTAGCCTGTATTCTGCCGCCACATCTCCAGAATCCCTTGAGTAAGTACATAAAGCAAATGAGATTGAGACTGGCCAGGTGGCCTTGGAAATTACCTTACACGTATCACTGAAATCACTGGAATAGCCGGGCTCACAGAGAGAAGGAAGCCGAGAAGAGAACCTTGGAGAAACACGTGCTTCATTGGAAGCAGGGAAAAAGAATGCAAATTACTTATAAATAATATGCAAGTGGAGAATTCTGATTCCCCGGATAACAAAGTGGGGTAGAAGATGACTGGGAAAGTGCACAGCCATGCAGAGGAGAGGAGAGAGAAGGATGGCATTAAATGATGCTGAGGGAACAGCAAATGCTGGGGATACAGAATGGTGAGAACTGGCTTAGGCAACAGGTGTGTCAGTGAAGTCTGTCAGTGAAGAGAAAAGCTGTTTGTTCAGCACACATTTCCACAATGTCTGTACATTCAAGCACTACTCTAGGGGCATTGGGAACAGAGAGAACAGTGTAAGAGCAAAGCTGCCTGAGAGAGAGAGAGACAGAGAGAGACAGAGACAGAGACAGAAACAGATCCTCAAATTGAGGAACAGGACAGGGCTTATACCTGGGCTGGGCTCAACTTTAGGCACAACCATAAAATCAGGCATGGTGGTTCATGCCTGTACTCCCAGCACTTGGGAGGCAGAGGCAGGAAGATCAGTTCAGTGACATCCTTGGCTATTTAGGGAGTTGAAATTCAGCCTGTGATATGTGGAGCCTGGTAACTAAAAGAGGAGGAGAAGGAAGAAAAAAAGAAAAGCAGAGAACAGGCATACACAGAGCCATGTAGCCCCTAACACACCTCTTGAAAGGAAAGGCATAAACTTAGGAATTCTGAATGTGATGTGCAGAGTATCTCTTTCACAGTCTAACACTACCTGGTCATTCTGGATTTTCCATCTACCTCACCTTGAAATTATATGTACTTCTAAATGTGAACACAGGGAGGAAGGGAGTTTGCATGGTACTTCACATAATTAAAGGTCTTTTGCTTCTCTAGTCTTTTAACTGTGACTATACAACCACAGGTCTCTTTATGATTGCTATCTCAGGGGCTCTTACCAAATTATTCTAAAACCAGCTTTTCTAGATAAGTGGGTCCATCTTGCTCGGGGACTACATCATAAAGAACTGCCAAGCAGAGACCTGTCGTCACATCTGGTTCTTCAGAGAAGTGTTTCCTATGAAGTAAGAGATTTTTTCCCTACATGCAGACCCTCTAATGAGACAGTGTTGTAAAATGTCCCATAAAATGGAGTGGCATATCTCTTTATTGGGGAAATGGCCAGACTATTCCAGTCTTATATTCTTACATGTTACAACATAACACTGTTGTATTTACTGCTTCCTATGCAATGGGTCCAGCAGGATACAAAGTTCCCATGACAAGTCAGGGATGCATTACAATAACTCCTTCCTGGAACATTGGTAGATGCTCGTACTAATCATTACATAGGCTATTCCTAACCCTACTTTATTGTGAGTCCATTGAGCTCCATTGAGTTCCACTGAGCTCCAACAAAAGCATTTCCTCAAGATAATAATTCAGTACTGGTCTGTGTGCCTTCCTGAAGTCGGGCTCCTACGACAGTACTAGATAGCCAACAATACTGAGATTCTACACACTATCACCCCAGAGGTCCCTGGAATATCTTTCACCACTCTGCCCTCTCTTCTAAGAACCCTCATCCCCAAGTAAAACAAAATGATGAGCATCAGCTGCCAGTGACACCTGAGTCCTCATGGTATGGCCATTGTCCCTTCTGACTGGTGGATGCCTGTGCCATAGTCATCTTTATACACTACTCTAGGCCATTCCTAACCATACTTTGTTGTGAGGCCCTGACAGCTCAGAAAAGGAACTTCTACATAATACAGCCACTGTATTCTGAAAGGGGAATCCAAAACTGATCTGTAACAGCAAAACCTGTATTTAAAGAATATTTCTGATAGGATCCAAATTGAAACAGTGGGAGTGAAAAGAGAGCCAATAGAATGCTGGATAAGCTGGGTTCACCCACGTCAAGATGAATATAGTGTTCTTTCTCGTCTCATAGGATGAGATGGGGGTATGAACAGGTCAAATATGTCTCCATGTTCATTTTAATGAAGGCCAAGGCCAATTTCTATTAAGTCTTCCTCAAATTACTTGTATTTCCCCCTTATAATTTCTAATTCTGCTAGATGAGCTGGAGTTATTAACACCAAAGTCATTTCAATTTAATAAAATCATATACATATTTTAGAGAACAAAGAACAGAGAGAAAGTTGGGTGACACGCCTGACACCACAGTCCCAGGAAGCAACTGGTGGACAGATGAGTAAGACTTCCAATCAAAAGAGTGGACAGAGGCAGGAAATGAGGAAGGGAGAGTGTGGGACTTCAGGGCAGCGATTGGGATGGGAAATGCAGCGATTGCCTGGAAGACACACAGTCCCAGGTAGCTCAGAGTTAGACAGACAAGATGTTGTCTGGTCAACCCCGTATTTAACTAGACTGGAATTCAAATGCTGGTTCCAGCTCTGATTGATACAAATTGCATCTGTCCATTTCTTTCTTTATTTGCAAAGTAAAGAGGACAACACTGACATCACAAAAATTAAATGAAACAGTTTATAAGTAAGCTTAAGCCTGCTACACTGTAACAGACCACTATGCTGGTGGGGGATCTCCATAGGACAGAAAGGGCAAAGTGCAATCTATAAGATTTAGTGACTGGGGATAGGTAAGGGTCAGACAGGAGTCACAATATCTCCCTGCCATTTGGCTTTAGTGACTAGGAAGAGAGCAGAGCCACCATCATGACAGAGTGGCAGGCAGGACCAGGGGTTGATGAGGAACCATAGGAAATCTTGGGAAGAATTTTCCTTCTGACAAGCTTGCAGGGCTCAGGGGCCATCTGAACAGAAGTTCTCATGTGGTAATGACAATCAGATCAAAGCTTGGTGAAAAGTCTCCTGGCAATATGGGTTTGAGTCATTTCTGAGTAAAGGAAAAAGGATTCAACTATTTGTATAGCTGACGTTTCCAGAGACCTGCTCGCTGCATTCCACCTCTGCTCTGTGGAACTATGCTTCCTGGAAACAGAAGACTAGCTAGAGGAACGTGCCTGTGGAAACAATAAGAGTCCAGCAAACGGAGATGAATCCAATACTTAGTCACTGTTCTATAGCTGTGAAGAGACACTATGACCAAGGCAACTCTTACAAAAGAAACTGTTTAATTGGGCCCTTGCTTAGTTTCTCAGGGGTAGTCTATTTTCATGGTGGGTGGCATGGCAGGGCATTCGTGGTGTTGGAACAGTAGCTGAGAGCTACATTGTGGATCCATAGGCAGATAAGGTAGGGTGGGGTGGGGGGTGATGCTGGGACTGGCTTGGGCCCTTGAAACTTCATAGCCCATGCTAGTTATACATCTCCTCCAGCAAGGAATGCAGGGATGGGATTGGGGAGAGGGAGAGGATGAGGGAAATGGAAGAGGGAAAGGGAGAGGTTTGAAAAAGAGTGAAGAGGGACCATGGGTCTTTTATTATATAACCTCAGAAGTCAGCCTTCGTACTGAGCACAGTAATCCTTTCAAACAGTTATATTCCCTGGTGACTAACCCTTCAAATCTATGTGCCTATGGCAGCCATTCTCATTCAAACCACTGCGTGTCTCAAGCACATGTATCTCAAAGGCAGATGAGGACACACCACCCCAGCCACCAGATCCTTGCCTGGGCTTCATTAGGAGCCAATATAAAAAGGCACAGGGGAACCATGTCTTCTGTTCGTGTTAATGTGACAAAGCACACAGGGAAAGTGTCAACTTCTGTTTTAGATATGGGCAAGGCATCTTTAGAACTGCTCCTAAACCCCAGTTAAACTCGCCATGTATCACATTTGTTAATAGTACCAATTTAGGGAGGATCCAAATCAGGATCTGTTCCAACTGTCAATGACCAGCTGTTTGCCCAAAGCAAGTGAGTTAATGCCTGAGCTTCACTTTCCTCCTCCATGAAATGTAAACAGTACTTCATGTTGCAGGCCTGGCTGCTATTATTTAGTGCGGTGGTCGACGCAAGCACTCAGCTTAGAGTCTGAATGAGACGGCCAGCATGAAACACACTTCCTATGGGGACTCTAGGGCAGAGAGCAGTACTGTCCAAACGGGGACCACATTCATAAGGATGACTTTTCTAATATTCTAAACACCCAAAAAACGGATGAAATTAACTCAAATAATGTATCCAAGCCAAGACACCCAATAGTGAATTTCCACATCTATTATTTTTTTATATATATTTTCCTACAGCCCATCTGTGAAATCTGGTAGTTTATAGCTTTTTCCCCCTAAGCACTGGCAATTAAACCCAGTTTCTTCTCATGCTAGGTGACTACTGATTGCTCTGAGCTGTGTTTCCATCCCCAGCCCCTCACATTTTAAAGCATCTCTCTCTCTCTCTCTTTCTCTCTCTCTCTCTCTCTCTCTCTCTCTCTCTCTCTCTCTCTCTCTGTGTGTGTGTGTGTGTGTATGTGGTGTATATTTGCATATGTATGCACATTTGTGTGTATGTATACATACATGTAGGTTTTCTTGCATGTATGTGCATGTCCATGATTCAAGGTTGAGGTCTGGAATCATCTTGAATGGCTCTTCTACCATATTCAGTGAGACAGCGACTCAGTGAAACCCAGAACTTACCAATGTAGTTTGTCCAGCTAGCCAGCTTACCCTGGGGGGTCCCTGCCTTTGCCTTTTAAGGCTAAAACTACAGATGGGTTGACCAGACCACTCAGAATTTACACAGATTCTGGAGATCAGAACTCAAGCCCTCACATGAATACAATAAGCACTTTAGTCACTAAGCCCTCTCCCAAACCACATTTTACTTTTTATTTGAGGCAGTCTCACAAAGGTCTCTAGGCTGGACTTGAACTCACTCTGTAGCCTAGGCAGTCTACTCAGTCTTCTCAGTCTTCTCAGGCTCCCAAGAAGCTTCAATGACACATCTATGCCCCCTGGATCTTCATTACACATTCATCAAATCTCAATTCAGAGTAGTGGAACAGCCATGTGTGGTCCCTTGCTACAGTCCTCAGACTGCTTAGCTATCACTTAGCAAATACAGTCCGTCCATAATTATCTCCTGCTTTATGAAAGACAATGTCTCATGAGAATTCAGAAAGTATCTGGTCTATTGTTGACTAAATCCCTGCTGCTGATTATTTTTTCAGCCTTTCCTGCATTAACCTTAAGATTCTAGAAAGGTAGGAGAGTTCCAGAGTGGTTTGTGGTTTTATAGAGAAAAGGACTTTTAACATGACAAAGACAAGGGTATAAAGGAATTGGGTGGACATAAGATAGATACAATAAAAAGGACAACCTCCATTGCCATAGCTAGGTGTGAACTGTGAGCAGGAATAGCATGTGGGCCAGGACAAGCTGGAGTCAGGCTGGGTTTGGGAGAGGTAGGATGCATATACCAGAAAGATGAAGATTAACGTGGAGGTCAAGACATGATGGCTACATGCTTAGTGGGTTGGAACACTGGCAGTGCCTTTGGGCAGCCACTAGGCACCATGATTCTGCTTTGGACCACCTGTGGTTATAGCTCCAAAGGCTGGGTGAGGTTAAATATGAGAAGTACTTGTTTTCTAGAGGAAGTGGAAACATTTTTCCTGCTCTCTGGTTATGAGAGAAACTGGTTGAATGTCAGCAGTCTTCCCCCAAGTGCTAAAGGATTTAAAGGAGTAATAAATGTCTGAAAACAATATTGATAGAATTTTCACTGTTTTATATCAGCATATTAGCATACTTCTACAATGAGTTAAATAAAATGGTAATGTGGATTTTTTTTAGGTATATTGAAAACTCTACAAAGAAATAGCTAATCAAAGAAATTGAAATAATTGCCTTAAGTTATCACAAGGAAAGCAACTCAGCAAATTTGAGAAGCCACAGCTTAGCAAAGGACCAGAGTCAAACACTCTTCTGGTTTCAACAGTCCCCAAAGTCACTCCACTATAGCAATATATCAGGTTCTCAATGAGCAGGATGCCCTGGAGGATTCAAGGAGATGAACAGGTAAGCCAGCCCAACTCCCCCCCCCCCCATGCCTCAGCTCACAACTGCTTATCTGAAGGAAAAGTTGCAATCTGGATAGTGCCACATGAAATCTTGCAGACCTAAGCATCTGTACAGGGTGGAACTTTCCCTGTATAAGATCTCTGAGGGTTGCTTTTTGTTTGTTTGTTTGCTTTAGCCTACAATGTTGGACAGTTAATACCAGCACTGCACAAATTTGGGAAGGATAAGACACAGGTATGTGTTTCACAGAGCATCTAAAATACCAATAAGCTATTACGATACTCTTTCTAAAAATATTATATACAGGACTTTTTGGTTATTGGTTTATTGCTGTTGTGGTAGTGGTACTTGAGACTGACCCAGTGCTTTCGTGCCCATGCAAGCCCCTCACCCTGATCCATATCCCAGCCCTGAAATTGTGTATAAGATAATAATAACCAAAATACTCATATTGGTTTTTCTTATCAGTATATAGACCTCATAAAAAGAATTATAGTGATGTAAGCGGCAAAGGCCACTAAACTGATTTCCACTTTGCATGTGTATATCCTGCAAGCATGCCAGTGGGATTTTCTCAACTCCTGAAATCCTGAATAGCTTTATAAAATTTTACTTTTCCTGGCTATTGATTTAAAAAATGAAGGGAAATTGAAAGTGACTACCTCAGTAAGTGACCTTGAAAACTGTGTGTGTGTGTGTGTGTGTGTGTGTGTGTGTGTGTGTGTGTGTGTTTAATTAAGTACAGAGCCTATGTGTATGTTGTGGGGTGGTTAATGTGCACTTTCCATATTTGTGCATATGACATTTAGGTCATAATGAACAAAGAATTCCTCCCTTGATAGTCTCAAAAGAATTCTTTCAAACTCCTAGGGATTCATTCAGTCATAAAGAAGTACATTGGAGAATCATCCCACACTAAACATATGCATTATAGTCATTTAGTTTCTTTAAGCAAGCTTCTTACGTTTTAACAGTCATTCCTTTAAAACGGTAATTTTTAAAAGTACCATACAGTTGCTGTACACATACTAAGTATTGTGAGGGTAAAATGCTAAGCCAAGCTGGGCGGTGGTGGTGCTCGCCTTTAATCCCAGCACCCGGGAGGCAGATACAGGCTGATCTCTGTGAGTTCGAGACCAGCCTGGTCTACAAGAGCTAGTTCCAGGACAGCCTCCAAAGCCACAGAGAAACTCTGTCTCGAAAAACCAAAAAAAAAAAAAAAAACTAAGCTAAGGGGGCTAAAGACCTTCCTTAATGCCCTGCAAGTCAAAGATTTTTTTTTTTTTTTTTGATGTTTTTGGAGGTGCTGGGTTGGAAGTGAGAGCCTCCTGTACTTTAGGCAACTGTTCTACCACCGAGTTACACCCCATTCCTTAGCACTGACTTCCCCAAAGCCTGTTATCTGATTTTAGACAAAAGACTTAAACATATATACTGCATGGTGAGTATTCGATGTGTTTATGTGTGAGCAGATGCAGGATTCCAGTTGAATACCTGACTTAAGAAGCTGAGTCACATAGGTCTAGCCAGAAAGTTGCAGCTCACACCTGGCCAGCTACTGTGTGGCCCTTACAGCAAGGCAGCAGGCCTTCTGTTACCATGTGCACAGCACAGGGGCGGCTAGATTTACCTTTCTTTGGTCTGGATTTCACTGGCAAGGACTCCTTTCTTTCCATGGCTGCTTCTCTTTCTTTCCATCGTCGGATCTGTTCCTCCCTCATCTTGTAGAACAAGATCTGTTTCTGCTCTTCACTGAGCTCTGCCAGCAGGTCAGGGTCTATGAACATGTCTGACAGTATCTGTCTCAGCATGTTTGCTGATCACAAGAACTTCTCCACCTGCAGCAGAAGCTTCTGAAAATGTCTTGCAAGTATGCTCCCAGCAGTGTGGTGCTTGGGCACCTCCACAGACCTTCCCAGAGGCTGGAATGTCCCAGCAGTAGTGACCCACCGGGACAGAAACTCAGCAGAATGGTTTCTTCCGTAAAGGCTGTTCAGTCGACAAGCCTGCAAAGAGCAACAGCCCAAATCAGGCAATAAAATGTATAGATTCTGGACAGGAACAGGCTAGTAAAGAAAGCCAGGAGGAAACCCAATATAGTTTTCTATTTCAAAGAGAAAGAGGAGAAAAATCCAAGGGATGTTGTGCTAAGAGTTTGTATAACCTCTATCCCACAATAGATACTTTATCAGGAAAACCCTAACTTTGTACAGGCTGATCTCAGGGAAACAAATTTAACAGAAGTTTGTCTGGCCTCCTCCCAACTGAATAAACACTTATTGCCTCAGAGCCTCCCAACTGCTAATAGCATAGCCGAGAAGAACCAACAACAATAACAATAACAAAAGGTCACAAGACGAAATTAAAATACCCTCCCCAAATTCCAAAAGAAAAATATCACATTTGGATATTTTTAGAGGAACAGAACCATTCTCAAAGAGGTAAAAAGAAGGGATAAAATTGAGAGCATGGTGTCATTCTGTTCCCGTCACTTAAGCACTGCATGAACATAATTGTGTGCTTTCTCCTTCACAAAGGACATTTCCAGACAACCCAGCAGAGCCAGGAGGGCAGTACAAGTACAGAAGAGAGCATGCTCAAACATTCTGGAAGGTTACCAGCACTTAGCTGCCTCCTTTCCAGGAACTCAATTTTGTAAAACAGAAGTTTCAGGCCAGATGCCTGGGGGAAGGGAAGAACAGGTCACCAGCTTCAGTCTTTGACTTCTAAGTTTATCAGGAGGTTCCTCAGAAAGAGGCTGTAGACATGGGCAAGCATGGAGTCACCAAGGTAGCACTAAGGGAGGCACTTCCTTTTCTAGTTCTGTTTATTTTACATAGTTTTGTGTAGATTAATGTTTTTGGATGTCAAACCTTCAGACTCTGGGGTATATGACATATACATGTATTATGAATGCATGTGTGTGCTCATGTGCACCACGGGGACAATCTCAAGGGATTTCTACCTTGTTTGAGACAAAATTTCTCTTTTTCTTGTTCAGCACTTTGTAGACCAGGGGCTAGCTGACTGGAAAGCTTTGGGGACTCTCCTGACTCCACCTTTCATCTCAGGAGAGGGGCACTGGGATCCCAATGTTCCCTCATGCTTTATTTACCCACCCATCTCCCCAGCCCCAAACTCTTACACTTTCATCATCAGAAAGAAAATATATATATATATATATATATGGAGAAAAGACATTCAGTTTGTTCCAAATGTCACGGGAAGTACAAAAGTCTCACTAAGACATTCCAGAACCATCTATGCTCTCTAAAAGATCAACTACAGCTTCCATGCCTACAGTGTGTCAATAATCTTGCTTATAGCCATGCCCATTCAAACATCTTGTTTCTCCATAGAAAGCAAAACACACGTAAATTGAGAACAGTTAGTAGTGGGACGCCTGTGACCACAGTAAGTCTTTGATGCCCCCTGCCTCTTTCCCATCCTTGTGGGTTTTAATCCTTTTTTTCTTTCCCTTTATTGACTGTTTCCTTGTAAAGTGGCTTCTTGGACACAGTCCTTTGAGACAAGCTCAGTCAGTAGTCAGGTGCCGCAGGACATCTGCAGCATTAGGCTCTCTAATTACTGATGGTACAGGGGGCCTGGAAGCTACATGTATTGTTGCTACTGGAATTCAAATGGAACACTATATTAAGAGGAAGGCTAAACAGCATTAAAAGAATGCCACGACTGTAACTTGGCCATGCATACCCCCGTCAGGGCTCCTAGTTAAGCTTGCATATAAATATGCTTTGAGATGGTCTTCAAAGTGTTATACAGTGCAGAGTCAATGTCTTACGATATTTTGGTTCTAGCACATTCTCACAGAATAGAGTAAATCAAGTCCACACTAAAGGAAGGTTTATGGAAGCTATTCTTCTCCCACGGAAAGAATCTGGTTCTTTGGCATATGTGAGTCCAACGTCCTGAGGTAAAGTAGTAAGTAAATAAAGTAAATGACTCCTTGAAATTCCCGGAAGCCTCCATAAATGGCTACACTCCATGGCCTCGGGGGTTGATGCCCACAGAACAGGATAGAAAACTAGCAATGGATCGTGGCTGCAGCTTCTACTCTATCCCCAATCTTTAATCCAATGAATAGCATTAGAGGGTCAGGGGAGAGCTGAAAATTAACTCCCTCAAAGAGCCAAGGGCCCATTCCTCCCCCAGTCTGACCCAGAGTATTCTGATAACAGAACCAACACTTCACTATTGCAGGCACTAAAGTAAATACTTAGCCTAAGTCAACTCGCTTCACCACTCTAACTCCAAGAGGCCAGTTCCATTTCACAGCTTTGTAAGACACTGGGAGGCTAAAGCACAGCAGTGACCATATCCACTGCAGTGACTGGCGGCTACAAGTTTACTCACAAGCCCAATCGCTGTGTGACACCAATTTTAAATTTTCAGAACAAAGACCAGAAAACCTCTCTGGGAAGAGAACTGCAGATGTGGAGATTCCTCTCCTACAGCAAGAAGGCCAACACCAATCAACTGTAGATAAGCTTAGAGGAGGCCAGAGAAGAAAACACCCCATCCAGGAAGGCGCACAGAGCCGACTGCCACACTGGCTCAGTGTTGAATATGTCTTCCTCTTGTTTTCTGGTTGCCAGATACTTTGTCTCCACAATATTCCTTTCCACAGCACATCTGTAAGGAAGTGTGCAAACCCTTTTTGTTTTACCTTGCGTAACAAACATGGACTTCAAGCATTAAGGTTAACTAGTCAGATTGTTTTGTTTTGTAGTCCTGAGGTTTAACTCCTGTCCCTTGCACATGCTAGGCAATTTCTCTGTTGCTGAGCTACACCCTCGGGCCTCTTTTTACTTTATACTTTAAGACAGAGTCTAAGTTGCCCAGGCCAGTTTTGAATAGGCTAGGCAGGCTTTCACCTTTCTATATTGACTGCCTCTGTCTCCCACCTAACAGGGACTATAGACCCTGACCACCAGGGCCACCTTAATCATTCTCGGAAAAAAGACAAGTGACTCCTGGGGTCCTCTGAGAATACAAGTGTCTGTGGCTGTTGACTGTGGGTGCCACACTGCACTGCTGATTCACTCTGGATGACTCTTCTGCCACCCTCTTCAAGGTTTCCCTTATAGCAGACTGTTCATCAGATACCTCAAAGGACACCAGCCCAGATTCCCAGATTTGCCTCCCGTGAGCTGTGACTTTGGGGGGGGGGGGTGTCACTTCTCATCTTTGGACTTAGATTCCCAAAAATTAATCTTGGGATCTCTGCAACTCATAGATTGTGAGACAAAATCTACCTTGAAGTTATTGAGCCAAGTACAGGAAATAAACATGAGGAAATGAACCAGCCAGGGGTTTTCCTACTTTCACTGCGACGGGACACTCATTGCGGCCACTAATTCACCCAGTCATGTTTGGGTGTCATACTGAGTGCAGTTGTTTGAGATCCAACATAAAGTGCAGCTCAACTAACTTGTTTTTCTTCTCCTGTAGGGCTGTTCTTGCAAAGGAAAAATTAAGCAACAAGCCACACCTGTTGCTCACTCTAAAAATGTCTAAAATCCAGAATTTGGTTAAGTTCCCAGGATATCTGAAGATCGTACCTAAGACCCATGAGCCCCTAGGACAGGAAAGTCCTGGTGCAGCCAACTGGAGTCGGGTTCTGACTTCAGCCTTGATCCAGAACCACAGGGAAGCGACACTGCCCGCCCCTTCCTGTACCACGTGGGGGCGCCCGCGCAAGGATGTCCCTGCCGGGGAACGCGCTCATGGACTTCTGCGTGAGCTGAAACCGGTTTTCAGGGCTCTCTGGAAGGTCTCCGGGCCAGGAGAGACCCCTGGCTGATTTGCGGATACTGCCGCCGGCACCCCGCAGCTGCAGTTTGGCGAAGACCCTCACAGGTGGCTTCCGCCGGCTGCACCTGCCCCGGGCCGGTGTAAACATTCACTCACCGCGTGTGCAAGCACACTGCCCGGACCGCACAACTTCCCCCGAAAGACGCCAAGTCGCCTCAGATTCTCCTCTCACTGTTGGCACTCGGTATATCGGTCACAAAGATCTCAAGCCCCCTGTCCTTCGGCCGTCACTCACCATGCCGCGGCTGCAGACAATGGACACCCTATACTGGACATCGGACACCGGCGGACACCGTGGTCGCCGGTTCCTCTGGGCACCTGAGCCCGCCTTGCGCGCGCGCGGTGGAGGAGGGACCCAAGGGACAGATGCGCGGGGACCAGGGTCTCACCACCCTCCTAGCCCTGGCCCCTGTGCTTCTCCCCTTGTCCTGGAGACCCACCTCCCGAGTCCCACTGCCCGCTCACCCCAGTCACCTACCTGTTCAGGACCCCAAACAAGGTGGCCCAAGCACCTGCCACCTTCCGATTGCCTCCCGCAGCTGTCCAGGAAGAGAAGGGAGGACAGGCTGAGACCCAGCCAGGCGGGCAGGCTGGACAAACACTCGGGCCCAGAAGGACACTCAGCGTCCAGCTCTGAGCCCTGGCCCGCCCCGCCGCGCCCACATGCCGGGTTGACTGACTGGGCGCTCCCTCTGGGCCCCACCCGGGAGCTGGAGACACTCCAGAGCCACTAGGCTAGGCTTGGCTGCCTTGGTCCAGCAACAGTAAGGCAATCCTTAGTTAACCTAGAGCGCTGTCTGCAGCCTGGGATGGTTTGTTCATCCCAGAGTGGTCTGAAGAACGTCTTACAGCTGGCCCTTTCCACACTCAATTTGCTTGCGAGGTGGAGCCTGTGGAGGTGGGTAGGCCCTTCTGGGAACCTGGGTCCTGCAGGCCAACTTGGCTCTCTCTCCAGTTCTGCCCCTGCATTTCTACAGCTTACTGCCCCCCCCCTCTTTTGTTGACATTAAGTAAAGTATCAAACACTGAAGCATTTGTTACCCCAGGTGTGGTTTTACCTGCACGATCAAGGAAGAGAAAGGCTGGAATGTGGGAGACTCCAGGCACTAGAGACAGGGACAGCCAGGGAGAGGAAGAAAGGAAAAATAAAAGGTGGAAGAACCCTGTGACTAACAGAAGAGGACCAGGGTGGTGCAGGGCACAACTTCAGCAAATCTCAAAGCAAAGCTCAGCAGCATGGAAAGGTGGACAAGCCTCTGGGAAAGAATGTTAGGGATGTGTTCAGGGAAACAGTGCTGGGTCGCTGGGGGCGGGGGGGGGGGGGGGGGGGTGCGGCGACGACACAGGACCCCAGCAGACTCTGAGTGTGGAGAGAAGTGCCATACAAGAAGAGAAGCATGGTGTGACTCTATACAGCCTGTCCAACCAACTAATCGAGAAGCCTGACATGCCAGGCCCAGATGTTGTTTATCTTAAGCTTTGCCAACTGAAGAGTTGGAAAACCTTAAGGTAGGGGTCATGCCACACATTCTCAGGAATCAGCCTCAGGCCATTAGGAATGGTGTTTGGGATCCATTCAGGCAAGGATTCCTGGCCCAGGGCTTACTCTCCACTGCATTTGATTGCATGGCCGGTGAGGTGCTTTAGGCTGGCATGTCCCCCTGTGTTTAGGGCTGTATCTGCTCAGTCAGTGCCCTCACACTCCCTGGATGGAAGTTAAGGAACTACGCGAGTGGGCCATCTGTCAGCTGAAACCTTATGGGACCCTGGACTATCCACCTCCACACTCATTCTGTCTCATGTCTTCACAAGGCCATCTTAATAGCAGCTCTTCCCCTTTACCTATCTGCCTTGAGGCTTCCTACTCAGGGCAACAGCAGTGCCTGGCCCAGTCTGTTGTCCTGAGAGTTAAGTGAGATAATGCATGCAAAGAGCTCAGAGTATGACTGGATAACGTGTTCAAATACTCACTGAATGCCAGAGACTGTTGAACGGATAGAGGCTTTTATGCAGAGTATTCAGAATTTCTGGCATGCAATAGGTATTCAAACATAGTGGCTCATATTATTCCACACCACATACTCTAATTTCATGTTCCTACCATCTCATACCAAGGCTATGAATTTTGTCTCCCTCCTTATCTCGACTCTAAGCTATCCCCGGTCATTCTAGTCAAAGCATACAAGCCCCCGATACACCAGCATTGGTCCGTGTGACTCGCAGAACATAGCAGAAGTGACGGCCTACCTTTTCCTAGATTAATTTGTGGTAATAGCAAATATTTGTTATCTCAGCACTCAGGATGCTGAAATAGAAAGATAGCAGCAGTACAAGGCCAATGTGAGCTACTTAATTGCAAGCCAGCCTAGATTCATAGTGAAAACATATCTAAAATAACGATGAAAAAGAAGTCTGTAGCTCATCTTAGTCTGCATGTCTGTCTGTTTCTCCACCCTCCCTTTTCCTTCTCTGTGTGTCTCCCATACCCTTAAAACATTCATGCTGAGAGATAAGAATTTCCATATCAAGTGATCCATTGGAGAAATCCACCCAGAGGGACACTAAAGCCAAAAGCACACAAATTAGCTTGGAGGATCCTCAACTGCCCTCAAGCTTTTCTGTAACTACAATAATGACCTGCAGCTTCACTGAAAATTCATGCTACTGCTCAGGTAAGCCACCCCCAAACTCGTGATCTATATATACTTAAAGACAGGCCATTTGTACTGTAGTAAGATAGTAATTTGGAGGTAGTTTGTTACACAGAAGTGAATAACCAATGCATCCTCTCACTAATCCAAAATTAATTAGCATTCATGTACATAAAATGACCTGGATAGCTGGTTTAAACACTGAGCCGGTATCTCAGCCCAGAGCTAAGGACAGAAGATTGCAGGGTCCTGGCATCTGCATGTCAAACAGTACTTCAAGCAATCCGGTCAAAGGAAAGGCCTCAGAGTCTATGCCCCACGTTGGGCAGGCTAAGAGTGGAGCTGTCAAGCTACTTCTCAATAAGTAATTGATCCCTATTCAGTTGCTGAAACATTTTCAATGCCTACCCTTCCTCCTGCCCAAGGAATGAAGACCTAACCACGAGTCAACTGTTAGCAGCCAGGACAGCCCAACACTGAGCTCTTTCACCCACATCACCTTGGATACCCCACTTTCGTGTAATCTGGTTTGTTACAAGCCTTAACCCACAGCCTCTGCAGCTTCACACTGGGTCCATTGTCTAGCTTACCTTAGGAAAATTTCACCTTGAGGACATTTCTTTGCTTGCCTCTCTTCCTCCCACTCAGAAACAGTCTTTATTGCACCCACTAATATCAAATTTAGCGACCAACACACCTGGGAAACATTTCATTGACACCTGGTAGGGGCTGGGCCATGTTGACAACTGAGGGACAGCAGAATCCATGGTTTGGGTCCCTGACACCATGGCACGTCCACATACAGTGCCTACATGCAGACTTCAGATCTCCTCTGAAATCATGAATGTCATCAATGCCTTGATGGCAAGAACTAACCCCTAGGATGAGCATTAGCATCCAAAAATTGGTAGTTGAAAAGAATGCCAGTCCAAATGAATACAGACTGAACAAAGATAAGGTAACATGCTTCAAGCCTTTATCATTTACTACGGAAGTAGCGGTTAATATTCTATATATCAACTCCAGAATATTTGTTACTATGAATTTGACTGCATATAGAATATATACCGGGTGCTTTGTATTCTCAAATAGGCCCCCAGAGAAAAGAATTCCTTCTCACCAGGGTGTCAGTGGTAAGAGCGCCCCACTGCTTACTGAGACTGGAAGCAGCAGCCTCCAATGGCACACTACTTAGTTTCTTTTTTCCCTTTGATATAGCACTGAGAAGTCCCCTTTAATCAGTTGACAGCACTTTTTTTTTTTTTTTCAATTTCTCTTCCATCTGGGACATGAGGTACCTGCTTTTTTCAAAACTTTATCTGCTTTCCTGGCTCTGAGAGATATGCATGCCCTATTGTCAGAGAGTTGTTAAATGTACCTGTGGCTATAAAAACCAGAAGCCTTATGGGAAGAAAAGGAACCTCAAGAGAATTTTTAGAAGGAACTTTTTAGAGAATTTTTAGAAGGAACTCTAGAATTTTTAATGAGAGCTTTAAGAAAGAACTCATAGAGGGTAAATTATTAGATAGAACTTTTAAGGAAAAATCTTAAAGAGAGGTTTTTGAGAGAGAACATTTGGGAAGAACCCCTTCGTTGAGAAATAAAGCTGGTAAGAAGAATGATCCACATATGAACTGACTCATTGGCCCCAGATGAGAACTTTTTAGCCAACCCCAACATGCATGCTGCAAGCATCCTGTCTGAACCCAAGAGAGTAACAATTTACTCACTATAGAACCAAGACTCTCATTGACCCTCTTTATGCCATGAGTTCTTTCCTGTACTTGCTACAGTCTCTTTCTCCGGCATTTGCATTTGGTGGAGGAACCTCACTGCTGCTCAGTACTGCCAAGTAGAGCACACAGCACAGCCGGGGTAAAATTGCGTGGAGGCCAGACACAGAGATTACGATATGTAAGGTGACCCCTGGAGTTGTGCAAAGTAGAAGCCCTGTTGTCTCCAGGAAGATAGGAAAAGCCACTTTGTCATTTTTCTAAATTAAACAACTAATGTTTAAGTTCTCCAGAAAATGGAGAACTTTCTTTATAAAACACAATATAATAAATACCAATAATATTTTCCTGTCATGGTGTATTATCAGCATTAGAAGCCTAGAAGACTTCTGTGACCGCTTTAAGAAGTAAGTTACATTTGTCCCACAGTGAATGTGATGCAGACAGGAAAGAGAAATGCTAAACATTTAAAGTTTGCTGAAAACTGATCAAATCTTAAAATAAATATCAATTAGTTCACCAGTCTGAAATAACACTATCAAGAACTGACTGTTCCCAGCTTTCTGTCTGCAGTCAGATGTCATGTTGATTTAGTTTATGACTTCATGACTGGGGGTGGGGCTTTCCCTCATTATCATAAAGAGCAAGGTAAAGTGTTGGTCTTCATTCACTCACGAAGTCAATGGTCTATTTCCTCTTCCAGAGCTACCTTTACATACTCACTTTCTCAAATATCCAGTCTCATGTGTCAGGATCCACATATGGTGTCTTGTGCTTCCATAATGCCATGGAAATGGCCAGTGACCCAGAACTGACAAGCTGAGGCTTAAGCTTGGAATTAAACAATAACCCAAATGGTAAGAAACATCTTCCAATAGCCTCTGGTAACCACCGCTTTTTACAATCAACCCAACGCTGTGGTGGACAGGCAGAAGGAAGTTCTCCTTAGTCTGGTGGCACACCCTTGGGTTGAGTTGAGTTGAAAATCAGTCTTCTACCAGATTCAGAACTGATTTGCAACAATATAACTAATCTCTGACATGCAATCTTGGCAACAACAACACCAAAAAACAGCACACTAATTTCTATTAGTTTTATGCTAGGATTAATACAAGTAAATACTTAAAAGTGATTCTTAAATGATGCTTAAAACAACTCAGGGACATCCTTCTTAAAACTTATCTCTTTGTACCCCTTTTCCCCACACCCCATTTATTCGGTTG